AAAAAGGAAAAAAAAAAAAAAAAAAAAGTAATATGAATCTTTCCATGAACTTTTTGAAGACCTCTAATATATATACACACACACTTTCTTCTCTTTGGCCCCCAACACTTCCTCCCCTTCTCCCCCCACATCCCCGTACCCTACAGGAAAAAAGGTAAGGATAAGCAGGGAGCTGTGCCTGCGTCGGGTGGCCCTTAGAGGCCCTTGTACTGAAGTTACTTTCTGTTTGTTTGTTTGTTTATTTGAAACATGGTTGAATAAAATTTAATTATTCCAAATTATACCATAGTTATACCATAGTTGTACCAAAACTTCTTACCAAGCCCCTCCTTCCTTTCCCCCTAGACTCTGCAGGGGCCCACACATTGTGCTGTGCCCTCCTTGCTCTCTTCTGTGCCATGAGCCCACAAACCTCTTCCACCTTTCTATAAAGGTTTCTATCTGGTTTTCTTATACTTTTTAAATTAATTTAATTTTGTTAAGTATGAGCATTTAAGATAGTGCAAAAACCTGCTTCTTGCTCAGTTTTATGTCATGCTTGTTTCATAACATTAATTGATTTCCATGGTTTTCTGGGTAACATTTTCAGCTCTACTATGGGTTAATTACGGTCTTCTGGGCTACCCGCCTAATGACCATTCATGCCTTCTTTTCTGTGGGGAAGTGTGCTCCACATGACCAAGTTACAAAGGGATCTTTGAAATACAGCCAGTTTCTACACTGGAAACCTCCTGTGTATTTTCACTTTTACTGTAAGTAACACTACAGTGAACTGTGCTCTTACTTTGGCTACTTCGAGAATTAGTGGGAAAGCATTTGCCAGCCCATAAATAAGATGGACTAGCCAGTTGATTATATGGGACCTGAGGACCTGAATGTAGAAGCTGAGATGTTAAGCATCTATTTGGTTTCGTCTACCCATGATTGAACTCAGGCTAGGGACTACAAGGTTAGTTACCTTCCTTCCTTTCAACTGGTGAAATATGCTTTATGTCTTAGGCATGTTTTTTTTTTTCTCTCTAGACCCTTGGCTTCTGCGTTCTAAAAGCCCTGTAGGTAACCCCCAGCTGATCCAGTTCAGTAGAGAAGTGATCGACTTGTTGAAGAGCCAGCCATCTTGTGTCATACCAATTAGTAATTTCATCCCATCCTATCACCATCATTTTGCAAAGCAGTGCCGAGTATCAGACTACGGATATTCCAAGCTGATTGAATTATTAGAAGCAGTGCCTCATGTGTTGCAGGTAAGGAATGCTAAGGGATTGTTTGTTTAAAGATAGGAATATTCCTCCATGGCTTTGGCTGCTCAACCAGAGAAACAGGACAGTAGTAACCTAATTCCTAAGAAATCAGTTCTGAACAAAACATCCTGTAGAGGCTTTCTTCATATTGTAGGGAACCTAGACAAGGTGGCTTCTCAATTTTTCAGAAGGCCTCAAGTTTCCAACTTAAAGGAGCTCGTTAGAGGGCTGAGGAGTATTTTACCTCTAATCTCTATAGACTGACCTTTTTCCATCTAGCATCATTCTCTCCAGAATTGTTCATTGTTAATAAGGGTTCTGCCTGAACATCCACATGCTTGTATGTTGGTGCCTACATGAGAGTCAAGGGTTTAACCTCTCTTATGAATGAGTTGGAGATGAGTTACTGGGCTGGAGCATAGCAGTGGATCCTATGAAGGCTTTGTCTACCAACTTAGGGTGTTATAATAGCTGCCTACTTGTAAAAATGGCTTGAAAAACTTTAGCTGTCTTTTAGAGACCAAGTTAGTTGTCTGGACTGATAATACACTTTTCATTTCTGTACTCACAACTATTTGGGAGAGGGTGTGCAGGGCCAAAAAAGGGTCCCAGGCAGTTGGGCATCTGTTCCTTTTGACGATCTACATTTTGTTGATTTACAAAATGTAGGTGTTCAAATTGCAGGTATCATATGTAGAGGGAGTTATTCTCTGAGGGCAGTAACAGAAGAGAGCCAGCAAGAAAGTCAGTATCTGTTGAGGTCTTGGAGTATGAATAATTTATTTATTTATTTATTTATTTCCTTTTTGTCTTTTTTTCGTGACCGGCAACGGATCGCAACCCTCAGTGTCGCGCCCGTACCGGGCCGGGACCGGCCACGGGATCGCAACCCTTGGTGTTGCTCCCGCACCTCGCTCAGCCAGTGAGCGGCCGGTCTGTATGTGGGATCCGAACCCTCAGCGGGAGCGCCACCGCACTTCTCAAGCGGCGCACTATACCAGTGTGCCACCGGGCCGGCCCGGAGTATGAATAATTTAAATGTTTGATTTGCAGATTCTCGACTTCTCAAGCGGCGCACTATAGCAGTGTGCCACCGGGCCGGCCCGGAGTATGAATAATTTAAATGTTTGATTTGCAGATTCTCGGAATGGGTTCCAAACGTTTGCTGACGCTTACTCACAGGGCCCAGGTGAAGCGCTTTACTCAAGACTTACTGAAGCTCCTCAAATCCCAGGCCAGCAAGCAGGTTATTGCAAGAGAGTTCTCACAGGCCTATCATTGGTGAGTCGAGAAGAAAAAAAAGAAAGTAAATATTTTAAAATACTTTTTCTTCCCCCAAATATTAAACAGTTGTCTAACTTTTCTATGAAGCATACTTTTGGAAAACTTGTAGTTTATTTTAGCAATGATATTACTCATTCTTCCCCCATTTCCATTGTTAAAATCTAGGTGTTTCTCAAAGGACTGGGATGTCACCAAATATGGTGTTTGTGAGTTAATTGATATTGTGTCAGAGATTCCAGACACAACCATCTGCTTGTCCCAACAAAATAATGAAATGGTGATTTGTATCCCCAAAAGAGGTATGTGACTTACTTTTGCTGGGAAAATGCTATCTCAGTTGTTATTTTAAAATGGAGGGTACTTCAATAAGTTTGTGGGAAAATGGAATTAGAAGATAATAGGAATCTTTCCATTAACTTTTTGAAGTACCCTTGTATAGGGGATGTGTCTCCCCCCCCCTCCCCCCCATGGTTCCTGAAGATATCATGGAAAGTGCAGTTTGAAAATTACTGTCTGTACACAATGGATCCTGTGTTCTTCAGAGTAGGTAAAGGTGCTTGTCAAGAAGAAAACCATACTAGTTTTTTTAGAATTCACTCTAAGTGGGGAAAAGGGCATAACCAGCACTTTCAGCTTGTCTGTGGCTGTTTAAGCCATGATTGTCCAGTTGAGAATCCATTAACCATGGCAGTTGTTTGTCCCTTCTTTTTAACTCTGAGCTACTTTACCATGCACACTTGAGAAGAGAAGAAAATTTGAATGAATGTTTTATTTTGTCTTTCAAATTTTAGCAGTTTTCAGTTGGGGTCTGGGAGATAGGATAGTGAAAAGTAAGTCTACATATTGTCATGTCATCCACTGTTACTAATCAGCGTTCTTAAATTGTGCTCAGATGGAACATTGATGTCTATGAAATTATGGTATTCCTGAGCTAAAGTTAGTAATGTCAGTCTTTCCGATTGTAATTTTAAAATTAATAGAAACAAAAATCTAAGTTTAAGCTTTTTCTCGTTTATTTTTATTAAATTTTTGATGCCTGATACTCTTTTCTGCTAGCAAGTTTTCATTGAAGATTAAATGAATAAACACAAAGCGTGTGAATTTTCAGAAGTGTGGTTTTATAGAAATAATTTCTAGATTACTTTTTTAAGTACAGAGACCTGTATACATGTCATGTTCATGTATATGGGGTGGGAGAGGAGTGGTGGCTAGAAAATTGTTCTCACTTATAAGATGAACATATATGTATTCCGTAGTATATCATAATGGTATCATGACTTCCTGGCCCTCTGCCCTTAAACATGCTTGAGAACCACTGGCAAAGAGGGAAGAGTATATGTGTTTGGCTTAAGTTGTGTGTGTTTGGAAGGCAAAGATGATATCTCTTGTAAACTCTGAATAGGACTTACTGCAGCGTGAATGCAAAACACAGATGGGTAGGAAAAAATCATGATTTATGTTTTGTTTTGTTTTGTTTTTTAAAGAACGTACTCAGGATGAAATAGAAAGGACAAAACAGTTCTCCAAGGATGTTGTTGATTTGCTGCGTCACCAACCCCACTTCCGGATGCCCTTCAATAAGTTCATCCCCTCTTACCATCACCACTTTGGCCGGCAGTGCAAACTCGCATACTATGGGTTTACCAAACTACTCGAACTTTTCGAAGCCATACCTGATATTTTACAAGTGAGTGAAGAAATTCTAATAACATAAGTATTTTCCTGAACAATGTATAGGGAAAATTTTTTCATTTTCAGGACCTATTTTCCTGGGAAGTAGGGAGTTACGAAAGAGGATGAAAATCTGAAATATTCCAATCAGAGAAGCTATGTTATTGACTCATTAATATTTTTAGGTAAATGTGGTTTTTCCCCTTAAATAAAGAATTATTCTCCAACCTTGGTTTAGGGTAGTTACTGAAAAAAGGACAATGTGGCTTGATTTCTTAAACTGAATGTTCTTTCATTGGCTCCATACTTTTCAAATTCCGTATGTTGGAGGTGGGGATGAATACATGAGGTAATATCAATGCTAAGCTATTAAGCTGTTGCTAAGTTAAACCATAGTTCTGTTGATTTTATTGATGTTATTTTTTTTAATGTAGAAATTCCTTTTTTTATTTTATTTTTTATTTTTATTTTTTTTCCTTTAAATTTTTATTTTGTCGATATACAATGTGGTTGATTATTATGGCCCATTACCGAAACCTCCCTCCCTCCCCCCTCTCTTCCCTCCCACCCAACAACATCCTTTCCGTTTCCTTGATGTAACAACTTCAAAAAATTGTAGTTGTTATAACTTCTTCTCCCCCCCGCCCCGGATTTTTGTGTGTGTGTGTG